GAACTGAAATATGAAGGTTTTGAGGGATGAAGGGACCACTGTATATCCATATTGACTGTGTAGGCATGGGATGAAGAGGAACTAAATGCAGTGGACAGAGTCTTCCTTTGTAACCGTTCTTCTCCTCTACTCATTGGTTCAGTCAAGTCCAATCTGGGACATGCAAATGCAGCATCCAACTTTTTTTCAATTGCCAAGGTGCTTATAGCCATGCAGACGGGTCAGATCCCACCCAACATCCATTACAAGCAGCCCTCGCCCAACATACCAGCGCTTATCAAGAAGAGACTGAAGGTGAGTAGTACAGGACAATTTGACTCACTGAGTACTTTTACACAAAGAGATTTAAGGTTATGTAAAGTGAAAATTTTGAGTACATTTTTTCTATGCAAAAATTGTTAGTTATTAACAGATTGTAATGAAATTATTAAACAGCTGTTATAATTTATACCACAATGACAAAAAGGATATGTATCATGACAATATTATTCCAATGTAAGTGATTAACTTATCTGATAAAGTATAATACATGAGTGTATCTTCTGTTTACACATTCATTATGTTCTATGTAATGCTTGAAGGCACTACTGAAGGTAAAGCTATCCCGGTAACAGGCCGTGAAGGCCCATAGGGTTGTGAGATGTTGAGGCTGCCACATTTTTTCTAGACAATCGGCTCACAGATGACAGTAAGTTTATCATTCCTGGTACTCATTTCTGTTAGAGGCTGAGTCGACTCCCGGGCCATAGTGTGTGTGTGAAGGGATTAGGTAAACTGAAAAAATCCACCTCATTGCAACTTGAACCCCTGACCTTCCAGCTTGTAGCAGAGTGCCTCAAACAATTGTGCTACCACATGCCTTGAAAGCACTACTATTTAAAGTGTATTTTGCATGAAGAAAATACATGTAATGTAAAACTTCTGCATTATTATTGACTGCAGTATGCCAGAAAAAATATTTATGCATTTATTTACTTTTCACATTTTCCCCTCATAAACTATCATGAAGACAGGAATGAGTGGAAATCCAAAGTATTTTACTAGGATTATGGAACTAGAAGAGTAATTGGATTTTAAGATGACACAATTTTCATTTCAAAGAATTACCATATAAATCTGCAAGTTCTATGTGACCAGCTGTGCCTGTACAGGTTGTAACAGAGGCAGCACCATGGGATGGTGGGTTGGTAGGAGTTAATGCAGTTGGTATGACTGGAATATATGGACATTTGCTGCTCAAATCCTATGATCGTTACACTCCAAAGAAGAAACACAATGAGGAAATCCCAAGGCTTGTGATTGTGTCTGGGAGGACACATGAGGGAATGGAAGACCTGCTTTGTAAAGTATGTAATTGTGACTAATTCTCTTGAAGATATACACACATGTGTTCGGCCATATTTGATATGTATACCTATACTTTTTGATGTAATGTAAAAGTATCCCTGTAACAGGTCGTGGAGACTCTTAGGGTTGTGAGATGTTGAGGTTCCCACATTTTTTAGACAATCGGCTCACAGATGGCGGTAAGGTTGTCAGCCTTATGTGCCGGCTGCCCTTTACCCCCAAGAATATCAACATCATCATCATCATCATCAGTGATGTAGACTGTTACATCATCATTAGGAAGTTAACTAGAGTCTATTCTCAACATACTTCCGGTACTAATATGCTGCTCAGAAAATGGAGTATATTTGCAGACAGTTTTCTTCTATAAGTTTGCGTACACAAGTGTGACATACCCTGATTAATATAGCAGATGGACATTACCATTAAACACATATAGTCTGAGCTGTTCACATGCTGCTCCCCTCCTATGTGGATGCAGGTTAAAATATATGCACCATAGCCCAGTGAGTCAGAGGAGATGAGGAAAAGGGAACCCAGTGCCTGAGAGTATAAGTGGGCCACCCTTTTCCTCAGGGGTATAAATACGGGGCCCTGACCCTTGACGTTGGGGGAGTCTTGAATCTGATACAGTAAAATATGGTGATGAGTCTTGCAGGACTCAAACCCAAGAATGACTGAGCTGGCAAGGACCAGCAGCAATTGTAGATGACAGACTTGTACTCTCATCATATAGGGCAGTGTTCCACAATCTTTTTATACTCGCGGAACACCATGAAGTATGCATGACTCAACATGGCACACCAAAATGTTAATCCCCTCAAAAACGCATGATGTCAGACAATTAATATAAATATGTAAGGTGATCAACTTATTACTATAATGTTATTATATTGTTATTTTATTATCATTAAACAGAAATCGACTCGTGCATTTATTAACAATTAATGAACTTTAATTCACTGTAGAGTGTAGAAAATACACTTCTATTACCATTAAAGTAAATACAGTAATTCTACTCATACCTTCAATGTGATACTTGTGCCTGCGTAGCTGCACACAGGTGACTGATCCGTGGTGGAATCGTTGATAACGCAAGTCTCATTTCTTCATCGATGGATTTGAGCTGCTCCCTCTATGATGTCTTAATTTCAGTTAATGTCGAGAAGCCCAGTTCACACAAATATGTAGTTGAAAATGGCAATAACACATTAACTGCCATCTCGGAGATAGCCGAGTATCCACTCCTTATCGCCAACCAAAATGTATCCAAAGGCACTTCGAGAAGTTTTAGTTTCAATGTTCTGTCTGCTTTTAAATCTGCGAGTTCCTCTTGTATGTTAATCGGAAGATGTTCTGAATTCACAAAAAATGCATCACGAACCCAGTCAAAATCTTGCACACTCTCTCGAAAATACTTATTGAATTTCTGCTGCAGCATTTCAAAATGTTCTTTAATTGTGTCCATCACCACTTTATTGCTGTCAGCAAGTGGCCATACTGTCGGGGACATCTCAAAGGACCCATCTATAATTCTCTAACTAGCAACCAAAATTTGCGAACTGCTTCAGAGCACAGGTGTGATAGAACTGAAACAATTGTAAAACACGGGACCTCTACTCTTCAAACGGAAGAACTGACACTGTACTGACTTATTTTTTAAATATTTATAATTTTAATTGAAGTCCAACAATCGGTGGGTGCATTGTTACAGGAAGAAAGTCATAAAGCTGAAGAAGCTCTTAACTTCTAACAAACAGGGTCAAATACCAAAACAGTGTTATAAGAGACAGGAAAATCCGGGCTAATCCCTGCAGTTTTAAGGAAAAGCACGTACACAGAACATGCGGCAAGCATATCAAAGAAGCTGTGTAGATGGGAGAAAAATAAAAATAATTCAATAATGAAAACTATGATATAACAACAACTGTGAGTAAATAATTTACATTTAATTTCTTAGAATACAACATTACTGTACATAAAAAATCACAGCGTGTAATAAAGAATAAACAAGCATCATCTTATTTAATCAGTGCAGTGGTTGAGAATAAAATACAAGCATATGAAACACGGTAACTGGAGTAAAATAAAACGAATAGAATTTGACAATTAATTTCTTACAATAGGTAAAAGTTTGCGTCACACCTTTCACCTTGTGATGGCACACCGGTTGCGGAACACTGATATAGGGCACCCCACATCAAAAACTGACAGTAATACCAATCTGATCTTGGGCTCCAAATGGCTGCTTGACATGAAGACAGCTGCTTGACTGACTTGGTTGTAACATGACTTTGACATTACTCCTGTAAGACTGCCTATTGTAAATAGGAATACAAATGCTAATGTTCATAGGCATGCTCTATAACATTGAATGAATAAATAAAAGAATAAGGTGTACAAAATATGTGTTTTCCAGTCATGAATTATTTTTCTTCAATGTTTTTGACATTTTGGCATGTTGGTAAATAAGAGTCATGCAGCAGATAGTGTGACTCAGCTTTACTGTTTCTAGACCTCACTGTTACAATTTTTGCAGCTGGAATCAATGACATTTGATGTGGAATTTATCAGACTGATGCATGATGTCCACTCATCCAATATAAGCAACCATATATTTCGTGGTTACACTATCCTTCCAGTTGATGAGAAGCCATTCCATGAGATTCAGGTATGGTTCTGAAGAATTTTGTTGAATTTTCATTTTCTGTATGCAGAACAATTGACAATGGTCTTGCCTCTGCTTGTAGGTTAGACTCCCCTCATTGACAGCCTCTGGCTTGTGGATCATAATTTGCCCATTTTGAAGGTGTAAGACAGTGAAATTCCAGATGTTCCCTAAAGGGCACGAACGTTTGTACATACGTATTTTCTAAGATATTACTGCTGGTTTTACTTGTACACTATGTAAGATTGTTTTTATTATTGATAGTAATTACATATATCAGACATCAGATTTCCTTTTTTCTTCCCAGCTTGTAGATAGTACAAAGCGTCCCATCTGGTTTGTCTTCTCTGGGATGGGCAGCCAGTGGTCAGGCATGGGACGTGACCTCTTGGAGCTGCCAATGTGTGCTAAGACCATAGAGAAGTGTCACGCCATTCTCAAAGAGAAAGGACTGGATTTAAAACATATTATTACAACTGACGATCACTCTGTGTTTGACTGCATTTTGCACTGCTTTGTTGGCATTGCAGCAATTCAGGTGTGAATATAGTTTTAACTGCATTTTTTTGTGCCAAGTATAAATATTAGCTAAATTTACTTCTGTGCTATAACGTTTTATATGCATTTATGTTTAAGTATTTCATGGGTATTTGAATGTTGTAAAAATTTCAAAATACAGATAATATTCATGTCAGATTTGAGGTTTCCATAGCACTGGTTAAGAAGAGTTCTGTCTTCTGGGATGCAACACCATGTAGTGTGACAGAAGTACACAGAAGTTTTAGAGGAACATATTGCCTCCATATTCAAGGTTGAGGAATAAACCATTTTCTTTGTTGTCCACTTCTTGCTGGCTACTTGCTTGGCTTACACTTCAACCCTGAAAATGGAGATAGTACATTTCTCCACAATATCAGTGAACTTCTACCTGACTACATAACATTACAACCCAGAGGATAGTGCACTAAATAGCACTCTCCGCTGTGGTTCAAGATCCATGTTAAGCTGTAGATGCCCTCTGTTTGCCATGAACTTCATAATCTCGGTAAGAATAAATGGAATCGTACTCTTGTTTTTCTATAGTAGATTCTTTCGCTTTTGACAGGCAGACAGAGAAAGAGAAAGCAGAAAATCCACAACTGAAACATTAAAAAAAAAAAGTTTTCTAATAAGATTTTGAGATATATGTATGACCCCTGGAAGTTCAACTATACTGTTTTCAATGAGGTAAATATTGAGTTACAACTTATGTAGTTTTGTCTTGGAACAGTTGGCACTAGTGGATGCCCTTACAGCTCTAGGGGTTGTGCCTGATGGAATGGTTGGTCACTCAGTGGGAGAGTTGGGCTGTGCATATGCAGATGGATGCTTTACTCTGGAGGAAATGTTGCTTGCAGCATACTACCGTGGCATGGCTTCTATAGAATCTAGTCTCATCACAGGATACATGGCTGCAATTGGTGAGATACCTGATGCTCTATTTTAAGCAATAAGTTTTCTATTGAGATTTTAAATTTCACAGTATTTTCGTTGAGGAGGTAGAAGTGTTAGAATTTATAAAATATTTACTACATTTACATGTAAATATCCTTTTAAATTTCTGTTCCAGATCCACCATATTTTATGGAAATATTTATAGTTTATTTATTATAAATAATTTATTTTATAAAGATATGTCTTTTCTGAATTACCATTTAAGAAATTTTATGCTACATTTCTTTTTCTTCCCAAATTTACTCATTCTACTTATGTTAATTATGAAGTTAAAAGAAATGGCCTCTTTTGATTAAACAGACATCTCTTTCTACTGAAAAATCGGAGCTCCAGGCAGAAGCCCTACGTTCCTATTGCATAGATTTATAGTTTGACAGACATATTACTCTGTTTTTATTATTATTTTATTTTGTTTTTACTTAACCATTCAAGCATGTGCGACGCACCGTATGCATCCGCTCAGTTACATGCATTTAGCATGAGTTTAAGTGGGGGTATTAAATCCCTCCCGGTGCTTTATTTTCGCAAGCATTGAAGGTTTTGTGCAGATATTTACCTAAATATTTTTAAGTAACGAAATCGCTATTTGAAAAATTCCAAAAAATTATATTATATTTACAATTGTTTACAGTTCATTATTATAAATATCTATTTACATTTTGTCAAGCTATTTCTTTTTCCCAGCTCTCCATATCCAGTGTCTTGTAGTTTACCTTGGTGTGGCATTGCTCAAAACTGGGGTCTATGCAGAGAGATGGTGTCCCTAGCAGTTTTTACACCTGTATCTGGTTTCTTTTCTCTTTCCGTTTTGTGTAGACACCACACACTTTCTTTTCCAACTTTATAAATTTCGGTTTTGGGATTTTCTTGAATGAAATGCTGACCCGTCAATCTCGTACATTCCATGTCGATATATGAAGGACTCCCTTTGCGCTTTTCTAAATTCTGTCCATGGGACTTTGCTATGATCTTNTGTAGTTTACCTTGGTGTGGCATTGCTCAAAACTGGGGTCTATGCAGAGAGATGGTGTCCCTAGCAGTTTTTACACCTGTATCTGGTTTCTTTTCTCTTTCCGTTTTGTGTAGACACCACACACTTTCTTTTCCAACTTTATAAATTTCGGTTTTGGGATTTTCTTGAATGAAATGCTGACCCGTCAATCTCGTACATTCCATGTCGATATATGAAGGACTCCCTTTGCGCTTTTCTAAATTCTGTCCATGGGACTTTGCTATGATCTTATTCACTAAGTTTATTCTGAATAACATACGATCTTTCTTGTTACCAGCCTTGCAGTACAGAATGTAAGCATTCAACACTGCCATATTTACTAAGTGGTTGAATAATTTCTTGTACCACGCTTTTTTCCTTTTCCTTTCTAGCAAGAATGTTTCTAGTAGCTGATCTTTCAAGTCTACACCTCCCATATATTTATTATACACTATTACACACATAGGTTTATTTACAAATTCTAACCCACCCTTTCGACTTACGGGTTGCATTTTGTCTGAATGTTTATTAGTCAGCACTGAGACATCGCGCTTATCCTTCCACTTCAACGCCACCAATTTCCCACACTTTGCACTAACTACTCCTTTCTTCAGTTCCTTTTTTAGATCCATTGGCATAACTTTGCGCGTGATACTGTTCCAACAGCATCTGTTGTCCTCTGAACTAATCTCTGGAAAAGATTGGGACTTCTATAAAAATTGTCCATATAATACACATCTGCCCGAGTCTAATAGTTCCTCGCACAAACTTAGAACAACTTTTGTTGAGGAAAGATCTGTGTCTCTGGTGATTTCACAGCCTAATTTTATCCCTGATCCACTGTAAATTATAAAATTCCACAAATATTCTGTGGAATCACAAAGTTAAAAAATTTTAATCCCAAACCGGGAAGCTTTCATAGGAATATACTCTTTCCACGAAAGTCTACCTTTCCACAATAACAAAGATTCATCGACACTTACTTCTTGGCCTAGTATATACACTTTCTAGAACTTATTTTTCAAATATTCACTTACCGGAAGAATTTTGTACAATTCAGGATCTCTTTTTGCAATTTCCTTATAGGTGGTATCTACAAAATGGAGAAATCTGGTCAGCAATGAAAACCTTTCTTCACTCATTACACTGGGAAAAAATGGTGTTTCTAACATATGTTTCCTACTAAAATACATCCTGAGGTTTGGTTTCTGAATTATTCCCAACAGCATAAGCAAACCTAGGAATACCCTAATTTCATTCGAAGTTGTGGGAACCCAATTTGAAAGCGCTATTTTATTAGCATCAGGGGCAAGAAACTGTCCCATCAGACAAGTTACGTGACCAAATGCCATGGGGCTCCGATAAGAGAGTGTCGCAAAGCAGAAAAGGAATAACAAATTCTTAAATGTTGACACAGGCATCAGGCAACTTCGACCCCTAGGTTCGTAACATCATAAATCAGACACAGCTTCTTTGTCGCCAGTAAGCCAAGCCAGTAAAAAAGAAAACACACACACAGATAACAAGCCCTCAATGAAAGCTAGCTAACAAATTATCTCTCTGAAAGCAAGTAGGAGTGTGAGTTGGAACAGTTCTTTCGTAAGCAGCAGACACCAGATGCTTTGTCCCAAGCAAAGCGCATAGAAAAAATACCACACACAAACAGATAGCGAGGAATTAAAGAAGTCAGTATTAGCTTACATAAATATTCACTGGAAGTACATACATCAGAGAGTAGGTGTTAAGAATTCTTAGTGAAAAGTTTGGACGCAACATATGCGGCGCGCACGCTTACAGCACGGGTTTGAGCGGACGCAGACGGTGCGTCGCACACGCTTAGGGATTTAAATGGCTCCGCTTAAAGTCACGCTCAAGGGGTTAAGTACAGATTGTATATATGTGAAATTTGTCAGATATAACCATGACGTTTCACATCAGCACCATGTTTATAGTTACAGAGTTACAAACAACGCTTCATATGTAATGTATGTGTGCTTTTACACTCTATCTCAGTACCATACCCCACATGTACAAGTGTACAAGGGGGTACCCAAAAGAAACCGAACTTATTTTTTTTTTAAACTTATTTATTCAAATTTTAAGCACAAACCTTCAATCCTCTTCAAAGTATTCTCCACTTACACTAATACACTTGTCTAGTCTTTTATTCCATTTTTCAAAACATTGTCTAAATTCATCTTTTGATGTGTTTGACAGCGCCTCCGCCGTTTTTTTCCTTCACCTCAGCAACATCAGCAAAATGCTGAAAAAAAGTTTTGATCATTTCGGGACTCTTCTTTCAAAGCATAGCATGCTTCCACGCGACCTTGTTTTTGTTCAGCAATCAGCAGTCATGGCACGAATTTCACAGCCACCCTTTTCATTCTCAAATCTTCTGTCAAAATTCGCTGAACTGAGCTCCAAGTCACTCCCGACAGCTCCACAATTTCTTCAATGGTCCGTCGTCGATCTTCCTTGATGATTTCACGAATTTTTTCAACATTTTCATGTGTTTGGGCCATTGCAAAAACGACGATCACACAAAACAGTTGTCACTATAAACTCTGCCGAAACTAGTCCTTACCTTCTGAAGCAACGGTAGTCGGCTTATCGACTCAGGAATGTTAGCTCTATGCGCTCAAAGCGGCAAAACGCGGTACTACAAAAGCTCTGCCCACAAAAAAATTAGTTCGGTTTCTTTTGGGTACCCAGTCGTATCTCCAACAGTTCACTAGTTATCACCATAAAGCCAAAAGAAAAAACATTTTTACATAGCTGTCATGTTGATATTTTTTATCTGTAAGAAGTTATCTCAACAAAAGTTGCATATTTTTCAAAGATCTATTACCATGCATCATTTCAGGGCCCAAAAATGACTGGCAGTAGTGTTCCCACCTTACAAATATCTATGTCCACCATGTTATTACTGATTGTACAAAACTAAAAAGCAGAATGTTTTAGTGGTCTCTAGTGGTACAACAATTGCACCCTGTTCTATGATAATCATTCAGCTGGTTTGAAACTTGAAAGTAGGAGACACACAGAGAGACATACACACATGCAGGAACACTCAGACAGCATGGCAGTCTTAAAAAACTACCCTGTTTTCATCTGAAATTAAGGAAAATAGGCTGGTGGGAAAATGACATTACATATTTTACATCTGTAATTCTAATCCAGTTACAGTTTCTGTAGAGAACAAACCTGAGGGCTTTCATGGTTCAGTCCTATTACTCCAAGGGAATATATGTGTGAATGGTACTTTAATATAAACATAATCTCTTCTTTCCACATTCTTCTCATTACGTATTTTGTAATCACTGCAGTTTCTAATTCCACATTCAGTAGCTGAAACGATGTCAGGAAATAACTAAATAAATAAATATCAGTAACACTATTGAAGAACTTATTGAGAACAGGTGTGCCAGTACACTGTCGTGCTAGTTCTTCTGTCACAGACCATGAATACTTCAAACATACTTTTACACAAAATGGAAGGATGGTGAAAGCTTTAGCCCTAGTTGGCCTATTACAAAGTAGAATATCTCATTTTCAGAGCTCTTTATTTTGTAGGGAATATCAGAATTTATTCTTTCAATGTATTCTTACATTTTCACTTACAGCATTCATTAAAATTTGTTACCTGTTAAATTTATGACTCTGATATCATTTATTCGTTTGCTTTTGACAGGAAGTGGCATACTAACACCTTATTTTATAATATTTAAAAAAGCAAGCATTAAAAATACTTCTTACTAGAAATGACTAAATATAAATTAAGCATAGAGCCTTTTATTTCAGTTTAAGATGTATGGCCCCTCTTCCCCCATCCTTTGCCTTATCTTGTTAACAGAACTTCTGAGAAGTAAAACTACTATTTGGTATAATGTGTTCTTAACTCATTCCATTAGAAGTATATTAAAATGCTTGTACTTTTCAGGTTTGGGGTACAAGGAGGTGAAGGACATGTTGCCTCCAGAGATTGATGTAGCATGTCACAACAGTGAGCACAGCAGCACAATTTCTGGACCTGTGGAACCTGTAAAAAGATTTGTGGCCCAGCTTAAAGAGCAAGGAGTTTTTGCTCGAGTAGTCAATGTTGCTAACATAGCATATCACAGTCGCTACATCCAACCTGCTGCACCTGCGCTATTTAAAACCCTCAAGAAGGTTAGAGTTTGTTCCACTTAGCGAAATCATAAGCCACATTTATCAATCAGAAGGCAGTCTGGTAAGGTAAGACAAAAGGAAGGAGTATTTATCTGAGAAAAGGCTTAAAGTACACTGATGCTAGAACCAGTAGATATAAGAGTCAGATTTGGCTCTCTGTTCATCTGTAGCTGATGTATACAGTGTTTATTGAACAGTTACAGTTTTTGTTTTTGTGATGTGGTACCGTGTAGTTAGGTAGATATATACCATCATGACCTCCATCTTCAGAATTTTTCTTCTACCCTGAATATGGATACAGCAGCTTCTTCTGAAATGTCGGTGCTGTTGTGAATTGCCAGATGACTAATCTTAGTATGGCTTATGTTTAATACTTACTTACTTAGTTACTTATTCATGGAGCTGAGTATCACTTAAAGAACTATTCACAAAATAAAAAAGTCAGTTTCCCTATTTTAGGCCACCAGGCTTCCTGAATTGGGGAGATTATAATACTGCATACTTCTGCGTCAATGGCCAAGTCAAACATTCCAAAAATTTATATTTTGTAAATGTTTAAGATTTTAAGTTTAAGCTGTAAATTAAATTCTGTTAATTCCTCAACAAAGAAAGAACAAAGTTCAGAACACTATACAGCTATAGCTCTAGAATATGAGAAAAAGATAAATTAACAAAAGGAGCATGCTATAAAGATTCAGTAGGTAGTTTCAGTGGCAACAAATGGTTCCTTATTATTTTGAGAAGTTCCTTCCTCTGCATCTGTCCAAAGTGTGTATCCCCACATTGAGCATACAGTTCAGTGGACCCATTCTTTGCCTTTTGGGCCCTCTGAGAATAGGCTGCATCAATAAAGACATCCAGCCTCAATACCATCACTGAGATGAGCAATCATTTCTTATTCTGAAGCTGAAGAGCTACTGATTCTTAAGGGAACCTGTCTTTTCCAGGTTTCAAAGGTTAGAATTTTACAACTTCTTCATATTGACTTCAGATTTTGTCTTATCCTACATGTATGACTTGTTTTTCTGCATGTAAACTAATTTCCTTTCAGTTCCAGGTTACATATTTTTCCTGAGATTTGCTTTGAATTTCTCTCTTCTTTACTGCATATTGTGAGTCCATACCCTCCATATATTAGACTACTTCAGATGTTCAGTTTCTTAGCTGTCAATCACAGCCAGTATAATGATTTAACTATATACCTTAATATATCCATAAACTGCATTCTAGGCTTAATGATCTCCAATTGAAAGATATAAAAGTCGCCTATCTCACAGTTTTATAAAACTAGTTAAACGATCACAAATATTTGAGAGCTCATAAAAATACTACAAGCCACTCACAAAAAGGAGATGGCAGCAACATCAATTGCAATTAACTGAAGAATTGCTCATCTTGAAACTTGCATATGCGTTCAACTCTTTCAGCTTATTCCAAATCCAAAACCACGATCAGTCCGCTGGATATCCACATCTGTGCCAGAGGAATGCTGGGATACACATCAAGCCAAATACTGTTCAGCAGATTATCACACTAACAATCTCCTGCATCCTGTATTATTTGAGGAGGCCAGCAGGCATATTCCAAGGAATGCCATTGTCATTGAAGTGGCACCACATGGTCTCCTACAGGCAATCCTGCGTCGCTCCCTGAGTCCTAAGTGCACAAATATTGCCCTGACACAGCGTGCACATCCTCAGGGACTCCATTTCCTGCTCTCAGCTATTGGCAGGTATGTCACCATTAATACATGTAACTTAATCCTGGACTGACATATTTATTTTTACTGTGTAAATTCTACTGTAGAACTAGACAGAAACTGAGACAAGAAAAATGTATAAATCTCACATTGAATAGCAAGTCTTAATCCATCAATGTTATATTTATAATAGTTTCATTTGCTTTTATTAGTTGATAAGAGATTAGGTTCTCTACTTTTAAACAACATTTTGCTTCTACTGAACAGCAATAGACTTCCATCATTAACATTCACATTAAAATGTTAATATATACTTAATGTGTAAACCAGCTAAACCAACATCATTCAGATTGATAGACTTTCATGATAAAACTGTAATCCATGCAAAAAGCCAAAATTTGTGAACTCAAATTTCAGTCATTTCAATATACCGATTGATTTCTGAACACAGTGCTGTGTATATCAACATTTTACCTCATATTTCAAAGTCAGAGAGACGTGGTTTTAGTAAAAACAGTTTTGTAAATTGTTTCTTGTTTTGTAAAATTTAGTTTTTACTCAGATGAGCTAGAAGTTCAGAAATTACTGCTGTCTCAGCAGGTTAATGGTAGTGTGAATATTTTTGAGTTTATCCTAAGTAAGAAACAAAAAGATTAACTATAATTTTCACTATTGGAAAATATACGTACTTTATACAATCACTTTATGCCATGGACACTGTCGATAAATGTAAATAAATCTTCAGTGTTAAAACGTTAAATTAAGATTAAGGCCTTGTGGTATGTGGCATCATGTTGACTGGTGGATAGGTACCATAATCTTAATGTTCCCTGCTATGAGAACCTCAGATATCTTTTAAACTTCAAGACTCTTTGATTCATAATGTTTCTTGTCATCTTCCAGGCCTTTCCACATTTTACTGTTCCATTAAACGTAGTGAAATTAAGTCTAAAATTAATCCTCCAATTCACCAAAATCACCATTATTACTACACAGTTTTACAGAGTTTCACAAAATTCTCCAGCACTATTTAATTTCTTATGCATCATTATGGAAGCAGCAAATATTACTGGCCATCTTTGTTTTATTTATTTAATAACCAGAACAAAGGAAGAGTGTATGGTCATTCTTCCATAAATACAAATTGAATAATTGCAGTTTCCCTTATTTATGGTTGACCTCCTACTAATACAGTCAATACAACTTCTCTCTGAAGATTTTCTTGTGATGCATCTTCATGAACTTCACACAGTTCATCAGCATTTAGCTTTTGTGAATTATGCTATGATTTATCTCAGCCTGAGCCTCACTGTTAACTGAGGAATGTCTTGCAAATTTCAGCACACCTTTTTTTGCACACTGTTGCCTCCCAAAATGAAAGATAGAAGATATTAGCAATGTAATTGGAAATGTAAAAGCCATGAAGGGGGAAAATAATAATATGCAATTCATAAAATAATCTAGGCATATATTTATTACACTCCTTGACCTTATTCACAAATTTTGATATTTTCAAACATGTAAGAAACATGTCTGTTACAAATACTGAGGTGAAAAGTGAAAGATAAGGGTTACATCAAACCTGTGCTTAATTAATTGTGGACTTTGCTATGAGGACATATGGAGGATGGGAGAGTGGATATATAGCTCCACCAGTTTTAACCTCAGCAATAGGTAGAGGTGACTGATTAGTTTCATGGTCCTGCTGCTGTGCCCCCCTGGAGACGGGCCTTGTTATCCATTGTATGAGAGGGTCAGTGGAGCTCACAGCCAGTCTAGATGCTATGGAGAAGAGAAAAATATCTCTAGTCTCTCCTGGGAATTGATCCAGGATTCCTTGGTCATCCATTCTGTGCCTAGGCTCTATACCAGCTGAACTATCCTCAATAACCAAAGAGAACAACATGGACCATGCTAGTAAAAGTATGAAATGATAAAATTGTATGCAGTCTAGTTCAGTCTTTCTCAACCACCAGGCCACGGCCCGGTACTGGGCTCTGGTGTCAATTATAGCAGGCCCTCGTCTTATAAAAAAGGAATTTGCAGGGCCGCGGTCTCACAAAGGTTGAGAACCATTGGTCTAATTGAAGTAATGCAGGGATACAGAATTGACATCTAATGCATATTCTTTTATTTCATTTAAATTTACATGTGAATGACATGCATAATTAGCAAAAGATCAGTGAAGTTGGCATGTTCAATTATAATTCCTGTAGTTCCTATGAAGAGATGTGATTGCAGTATGTTGTTGTAGAATCTACATGGCAGGAGCTCTACCTAAAGTGTCCAAATTGTATCCTTCAGTGCAGTTCCCAGTAAGCAGAGGAACTCCATCTATATCCCCACTTGTCAGCTGGAACCACACAGAAGACTGGCATATTTTGGATGATGTCACTGTTGTAAGTAATTGTAACTGTTGCCAAGAGAAACAGAGAAGAAAATATGGGACCTTTTTGCTTTTATGCTAAGAACAGGACAGATTTCTCTAAATAAAATGAAATATTATTATTTTTTAAGCTACTCTTATCTATATTATTAATGGACATTAAAGAAAACGTTACAGAATTTATGTGGTCTAGTAGCAATACATTTTTTTTATATGAATCTGAATTTTGGGCGTTACTGAAAGAGAAATGAGAATAATGGAGGGAACAGGCAAGCATTTCTTCAGAGCTGTTGCAGTGTACAGACTGAAGCAATGAAGCTGTTGCAGTGTACAGACTGATGAAATGATGGCATTGCAGAATATTAGGATGGAAGCTGTCAGGGATATCTCAGGAACAAGTTTAATTTTTGTAATTAGAGTGGGACAGGAGAGCTTAATCCATTTTATTACTGGTAACGATGATTAGCACAAATGACATCTCTCATATTGTGTATCTTGCAAGTAAACACTCATAATAACATTATATACCCTATTCTATCAATACATTATTGTTAATGACTTTAAGGTGGACTCCATATCTGGTGAGAACGATGTGACTGTGAGCCTGAGTCATGCAGAGGACCGAGTGTATGCTGGAAATACCATTAATGGGCGAATCCTGTACCCAACCTTTGCGTATCTGGTAAGATTTTGGTTGTATATAATATTTTTTAATGTATTTTTAAAACAGTACTAGTGTAACACCAACATGCAGTGTGAAAGGCTGAATGCAATAATTTAACCAGAACATCGTAAATTGCTTTGAAATTATGTTCTGCTCCACAGCGATCCTAACTCCCTTGTGGCTGTTCACAGTGCAAAATTCATCAACAATATGAAATTGGAAGTCCTCCAACATCCACTGTACTTTCCTGACTTAGCACCATGGAATTTTCACCTATGATGGGCTGTTAAAGGAAGCATTACATGATCAGAAATGCTCTGGTGATAATGAAGATAAAGATGTACAGGAATGGCTTAAAGCTCAAATGAGATTATTTTATTCTGAAGGAATCAAAGAAATATTCCTATATGGAAATGAATATTGAACAGTTAAAGCAAGAGAAAAGTAGACTATAGGTACAAGATACATAAGAACAGTCAGAATCTTCCATAGACTAAAATAGTGTGACATGTTGCGCAACGGAGAAGCCCCCCCTCCAGCAGTAACATCGCGGATGAGTCAGCGCTCCCCTCCCCCCCCTCCGCACGGTAACGTAACGTGCAACGTGCGGTGACGTAAGGCGGCGTGAGGTAACAGCGTGGCTACATAACAGGCCCACCAAGCCCCTATATAAGACAGCTGCGCTGCCTGCGAAGTTAGTTGTAACGTAGCAGTCACTGAGTTAAGTAGTAGTCGAGCGAGTGTGTTATCAAGAGTTCTCCAGTCAGCAGACTACAGTTGGAGTATAGCAGCCATCGTGGAAAGAAGAACTGGACGTGTGTGTAACGGATAATTAATTGGGAGTGTGATACAGTGGGACTTATATAGCTCCCGTACTGTGAAAACATGTTGACTACTGACAATAGAGTGAATTGATTATTGCGAATAGGGTTATAAAGTGTAAAACCCCACAACATTGTTATCATTAATTGTAGCCGATACCTGTAGATTGTTAAATAAACCAACTAAGCATCTCTACGGCATATTCAGTAACAAAACACGTGACAATATGTTAAAAATGAAGATGCAAAGAAAGAAGTGAAGATGCATGAACACACGTAAATGTGGACAAACTGTTCAGATAGAATGACTGATGAAAGAATACTGAAACAGATTCTACATTAAAACCCTAATGAATGCCAAGGCTGAGCTAGACCAGGGAAAATAATGAATGCATATATGAAAATGGAACAGGCTTGATTGGCTGTACTATGGTTTAGGGAAAGAGTAGAAGGGCTTTGGAATCTTTTCAACATTCAAACAAAATTCACCCAAAAACAGGGCAATCAGAGACTACACAGGAAAGTAACAGAAGATGGATATAATTACTGTGTGATTATGTGGTCAAGCCTTATAATAAAATTGTCTTTAATTCTTTACTTTCTTCCATCTTTGCATCTAGCAGTATTTAGGTGATATTTTTAATTTTTAAAGAAAACTGTATTTTGTGATGTAATGCTGTATAGTCTGGTAGAAGTTCATTGACTTTTCGGAGGAACCTACAGGGGTTGAGCAATAAGTCAAAGAAGAACCCAGCAAGAAGTAAGCAGTAAGCATGGCTACTTCTATCAGACTACACAGCAGTACTCTTCTTAGTTACCAGTGCAAGAACTTCAAATTCAACTTCAGTTTTTATTTCTTTTCTTTTGAGATGTAAGCCTTAATTTCTTTTGCAGAAAGTTGTATGGGAGATTCTGGCTCTGTTGCAGCGCACATCATACACAAAGTTACCTGTTGTGTTTGAAAATGTCAGAATTCTTCAACATTTGGAAATCCCTGAGCATGGTATGTATGTCCATTTTAAATACTATGAAGGTTCAATAGAAACTGGGAAGCTCCAAGATCATGAAGAAGCTATATTCTTGTTGATAGTTCAGTTTTTCACTACTATAAAATTTACAGGGTGTTTCCAAAAATTATTCCAGTTTCAATTGTATTTAATTGCTAAATTATGTGATACACATTGTGTGTAATGTCACTAACCACAGCACTTATGGATCATGAGATGGTGCGCCGTTGCTAGTGGTAACATTCCGATCAGTATGAATACAGCTATGTACGCAACAAAATTTCATGCATATGTGTGTGTTCTTTTAAAGTAAAAAGCATTATATCACTGGTCCAGTTATTTAGATTAGCTCTTTGTAATGAACCCAACAGAGTATGTAACTCCTACCGCCTCACCTGAGGATGGAAACTGATCTAGTTTCTGAAACATTGTGTCCTTTAGAATACTGCATAATGGGCAAAGTCCAAAAACCCATTAGTCCCAAGTATGTTGTCAGCTGTTAAGAAACAGCTTTTGGAAAAAAAAAATACAGTGCTTTGTTCAGTTTTCATGTAAATTAAACCACTTTCATTCAAAGCATCAAATGATAAAATGTCAGTATATACATTCATATTTTAATTTATTAAGAATAGAAGGCTTTTATTCAGAAGCTAATTAAGCTGGAGTCAGTAACAGCCAAAGCTGAATTGCATTTGATGTGAAGAATAACAGAGTTGCAAAATCTAAACTACAAAAACTGTTTGATTTGATCCAGGTGCACTCAGCTTCTATGTAATGGTTCAGCAAGGAAGCGGTGAATTTGAGGTTAGCAAGGAAAACATACTTATTGCAACTGGGAGAGTCAGGGGGCTCAAGAACATCAGAAATGAGTATGTTAGAATGATTCCAGCACTGGATGGAAATGGGAGCATCACTGTGAACATGGAGGAAGTGTACGGAGAGCTGGAGAAAAGAGGCTACCAATATAAAGGCCTCTTTCGAGGAATTCTGGAGGCCAGACTTTCCAGCCAGGGTGAGACATAGGTCAAAATAATATTTGTTTTTTCTTTGTTTTTCTTGTTCTTACAAGAATTTCTGAAAGTGTTGCAACTTATAGACCTCACTATTAAGTGTGGGTACTAAGTGAAGGGTGAAAATTATGCCAGTAAATGTTATATCTGTATTTGTATCTTTTTTTAATTTCACAGATCCTTTCTGACTACAAAAACCATCAGATATAGAACATGTCACATATGCATACATTAGTTCCAAACACAGAACTATTCACCTAAGAACTACATTCATAATAGAAACAATAAATATATATAATTCAGTAATTTAGCAAGCATATAGGATTCAACAACTTGAAGGTAATACTTCATTACAATCATAGCTTAAATATATAAACATGCATCAGATTATAATCAATTAATTTATACAGTGTACTATATAAACAGCATTATAAAAGGTTTTGTGGAACATCCCACATTATCACGCATTTCTGCAACGCTCGCTCTTCACATCACTTTTCACCATCACGAGCGCTAACCAATCAGATTGCTTCAAACTTTCGCATTTATACTGCGCTCACTGCTAGCCAGCATCTACGTCATTACGCACGCTAGCCAATCAATTCTTCCTCCTCAATTTCAAGTTTCGCTCCGCCCCACCGAGCAGTGTATAAAAAGGGGCAGCTCCAACGCCGAGCATTCAGTTTATCATCAGTCTACGAGCTAGCCACACCAAGCAACATCAGCCAGCAGGCTTCGTCGCCAGCGCTCAGTCTACGGAGGCATCGGCACTTCGCTGCGCCAGGCATGACTGCCACAGCTGTCTGCCGGTTGCACCCGACTCANTGTGGGAACATCCCACATTATCACGTATTTCTGCAACGCTCGCTCTTCACATCACTTTTCACCATCACGCGCGCTAACCAATCAGATTGCTCCAAACGTTCGCATTTATACTGCGCTCGCTGCTAGCCAGCATCTACGTCATTATGCGCGCTAGCCAATCAATTCTTCCTCCTCAATTTCAAGTTTCGCTCGCAACCACGGTCCTTTTCAGGGCCAACAAACTGTTCCGAAGAAGTGGGTTGTCATCGGAGTAATGACAATCTTTTATTTAAAATATTCATCTAATGTATAAAATGAATGAAAATACAAAAAAAATTCAAGGCCATTTAAACTCTTTGGTATTATGGGACAAATCCTTTATTGGAACATGTAAACTGTTAAATACTTTGATTGCAGTGTAATATGTTCCCTTCTGAAAAACTGACAAATGAGACGGTGGATGATACGAATCAGATTTGGTCCTAATACTTATATTGGTTTAAAGTAATGTTTATTATTGATCACAAATCATGAAAGTGAATATATGTACTGAGATTGTAGTGGTAATATTTTTAATTCTCTAAAATATTCTCTACATGAATCTCTATCTTTAATCCTTACTGTAATTCTAATAATTCTTTTTCTTGTTTAAATTTATATTGCTATAGCAAGAATATTAGTTCATAGGTCATGATAGAGTGAAAATAGGAATAATATACCATCTTCAATGATCCTTGGGACAAGAACTGCTTAATTGTTCTAATTGTGAAACAAACTGAATTTAGATTGTGTACAAGTGTAATTATATGAGTCTTCCAAGAAAATGTGTTGTCTGATGTTTACAAACATTAACTATTTTCTTGTTCCCTTGCATTATATTGAAATCGATTAAAGAACTAGTCTTAATTACAAACTACATAAATTGTGTCTTAGTGACAAAAAATTAGTAGTGAACCATCTGTTTATATCTTGAAAAACTTTATTAACCTTACTTTTAAAATTTATAGGGATAAGGCTAGTAATGATTACACTAGTGTCATCTGCATACAGAATGATTTCAGCATTATCATTTACTGTTTTTAGTAAGTCATTAATCATCATCATCATCATCATCATCATCATCAGTAGTCTGTCAGACGACAGGTCCACAGTCTCTTCCAAAACAATTTCTCCACTTAATGCGATCTAGAGCTTTCTCCTTCAAATGACAGTATCCTCTTCTGTCCCCAAGGTCATCCAGCACCTTCTTACGTCTTCTTCCTCGTCTTCTTGTCACTTCTATCCGCCCATCTATCTTTCCTTCAATAACTTCTTTTAGAAGGCAGTTTC